ATTTAGAATAAAAAATACATTTTTCATCTTTTAATTTTTATTTTTATTCTTTAATTGTTTTTGGCCCGGCCGGGCAAGTGACCCCAGGCCACTCTGGTAGCCTAGCTAATAATAAAAATAACAAAAAACAAAAAAAGAATTAAATTTAGTGAGTTCGCGAGCACGTTTTCGACATCGCCATCTTTGGCGATTTTTCATTTTTTTTTGGAATAGCTAAATGCCCTGAAAATTTAGATATGTGTACTTCACATAATGCAAAACACACTAAAAAAGTTTCAAAAAATAATAAAATTGTTTAGAACCCGAACTAAAGTGAAAACAAAAAGTAAAAAGTGAAAAAAAACGTGGGCACGCACGTTTTGACACCGCCATCTTTGGCGATTTTTAATTCTTATTTGGCTGAGCCAAATGACTTGAAAATTTATAGTCGCGTGTACCTCACGTCATAGAGAACTCACAGAAAAAAATTCAGAAAAAAAATAATATTTTTAGGCCCCGAAATAATTTTTGGCGGGGCCGAACGCCGTCGGGTTCGGACCCCCCGTACGGGACCCCGAACGCCCGTACGTACGGAGGTCTGCCCAGGGACCTCCGTACGTACGGGCTGGTAACCCTGATTAAATCAATTTAAAACTTAAATTTCTTAAAAGTAATAAATTATTGGTTTCCACATTAAGTAAATTCCCCACAACTGAAGACGGACAAACCACAGGCACACATGCACAGGCACCCAAGCACACACACGGTAACAGAGGACATAGGGGCCTTGCTGCACTGCACACCATTCTAAATGTATCTGGAGCCTGTAACGGTCCCCATCCATTCAAATTTCAAACTGTTGGATCCGTCCGAATGTATCTGGTGGAGATTGCAATCCAGATAAGTGTGGAATGTTAAGTAGAGGAGCAAGTCCCATAAGCCCATTTTTTGTGTACTGCTTTTTCCTGTTCTTTGTTTGCAAGAAAAATTATGGCCTTGCTCTAAGACTTTTCTCATTTTTTTTAGAAATCAAAGCTCCATCTAGAAACTCCTCCCCCCCCACCAGCAGGAGCAGCACCCAAAAATCAGTAAGTATTAAATAAACAAATAAATAAACTGTGTTATAAACCGGGCCGCCCGGCCGGGCAAAGACCAGGGAAGGTTCCTGTAAAAATTAAAAATTTAAAATTTAAAATTTAAAATTAAAAAATGTGAAAAAAATGCTGTGCGGAAAAATAAACTGAACTTTTTTTTTTTCCTTTGAAAGAAAACCAATACCATTCATATTTGCCGGAAACCGGGCCCGGCCTCCCTTACATATATGCCGTGGCTATTCAGGCTGGGCGAGGCACTCCTGGCCAAGCCCATCCCGACCACAGCCAAAAAGGCCCGTCTTGAATGGTTTATCAACTATCAACGTAGGCCAAATCTATTTGCCTCAGGGTCGGACCGAAATTCTTTCTTTTTTTTTTCTTTTTTCTTTTTTTTTAATTTGGACCATTTCTCGATTTATGTGTGTCATCCTTGCGCAGGGGCCATGCTAATCTTCTCTGTATCGTTCCAATTTTAACGGATGTCCCGAAGGACCGAAATTCTTTGCAAAATAAAAAATAAAATTTTTAATTAAACAAATATTTTTTAATTTTAAAATTTTAAAAATTTTAATTCATTTTTGGCCCGGCGGGGCAAGTGGTCCCGGGCCACTCTGGTAACACAGTAAATAAATAAATAAATAAACAGGATCATCACCTGCGTTGCAACTGCAGGTGCAACTGCAGCCAGCGTAAGACAAAGCCTCTGAGGGCATACTTGCACTACAAGCTTTCGGACTGAATCTACCCATAATTACGGTCAGAATCATCAGATACATTGATGGAGAGTCTTAGTACGAGAATTCCCTGATTGTACGAAGGCAATAACCAATCTTAACAAAACTAACAAATAAAACACAGGTATAATTCAAATTACTGCCCTTCAACACCAGGGCAATGGCCAGTTAGGTGAGAGTGCAATTGGGAGGGATAGGGGGGGTTCCCTCTGGTTGGATGGCATTTATAAAAAGAAACCTTCTGCAAGGAAATGAGCAATGTGAATGACAACAAAGTTGAACAAACCCAATTGCAGCATTCCATAGAACTTTTAGTCCGAACTGAAACCAGATTGCACCATGAGATAACACCAAAGGAGCGAGAGCAAAGCACTAAAGTCAAATGATAATGACAGCCCTCTTCTCGTCTCCAACATCAATGTCAACAACGTCACTCTCCCTACATGGCGCTCGGTGCCCAGACAACAGTCAGACAACTGCGATCGACCTGGACTCGTATCTACAACAGGTCTTCCCCGAGCAACAGCAGCCCGGTCACGAATGAAGACTCCGTGTGCTACGGCCCGCTCCCATATCACCAGGTAAGCGCCTCTCACATTGGCCTCTCCCTGTCTCCCTTCTCCACTCCCTCGCCCAAGGCCCTCTGCTCAACCTCCTCCGGCTATGGCGCATGCGGGCCGCTGCGCCATCGCACCGCCTTCCTCGCGCTCCGCCAGCACCCTTCCTTCTTCCTCACTTGCTTTTATCCTGTCTGGCTGGGTGAGGCAGGCCCTGGCTGGGCAGCCTCTGTCTCAGTTGCTTCACCCAAGGTCCTTCCAGAATGTGCCTGATTGGCTCAACTGTAAGAGCCCTGGTCCCCAGCGTCTTCAACCAATCGACTGGTTGATTGGAGATGCAATGAGCAGCAACCAACCCGTGGCCCCTTCCTGCTCACGCCGGCCTCTACTGGGGCCTCATTGACTTTTTTTGGCAGTCCCGCCTTCGCTTAGGGCGGGCGCAGGGCTTTTTCGACCACGCTGTACGCTCTCATGCTTCGCACTCCTTCCGCGCCGATTCGATAGTCCTCAGAGAATTCCTTAATCCACGACCTCTTCTGTTTGTGCTTCAGCATTCTCTTATGGGTTGTTAAAACTTGAGGCGTTGTCTTCATCGGCTCCTGTCTAGTGAACCTCGGATCTGAAACTGCATCTGTGGTTTCGACAGTCTTTCTCTGCCGACAGGCTTAGGTACAGGCATAAGTTTGTGCTCCATGATCTGATCGATGTCCATGTGTCCATCCATGGTTGGCGGCAGCATGGATCTCCTTGAAGGAAACTCATCTGTTTTTGAAAAAAGGAGATTGGAGGAGTGAGAGACTGGATAAATACGAAGGTGAGGTGATACGCAGACGGCGTATGATGGGCCATCAGGGCCAGGACCCACGATATCTAGGACACGCCATGGCCCAAAATACTGTGGCATCATCTTGCGAGAGATGTTCACCTCCTGTGTAAACTCAGAAGACTTCACCCATACCCTTTCCCCAACCTGAAACTTGGACTATCTTCTACGTTCGTTCTCACATGCCATCATGACATTCTGAGATTTCTGAATCTGTTCCATGGTCTCCTTCAGCATCATACTCTATATTAATTTCAACTCGGTGCTGCAGTCCATCTAGTATCAAGTAGGAGAAAGTCTAATGGGTAGGTCTAGCTGATTAGGAGACCAGCCTGTAGTATTGTGCAGTGCGTTGTTGTATAGACTATCAATAAGAGGAAGCTTCTCATCCCAGTCTTCTTGGCTGGGCTTGATGTTGTGCCTCAGCAGGTGCTGTACTACCCGGTTCATCTGTTCTGCTTGCACGTTAGTCTCAGGATGGTTTCCAGAAGGCATCTGCAACTTGGAACCCATCTGTTCGACAGTCTTCTTCGATAACTCACTAGTGAATCTGACATCTCTGTCACTCACTAAAGACTTTAGCAAACTAAAATCCCCTACCCGGTGTTCCATAAACATTTTGATTACCAGATCCGTCTTCGCGGTCTTGAGCAGCGCAACTAACCTAGCGTGTTTAGTGAATCTATCAACAATTACAAATATGCACCTCTTGCCAGACTTGCTGGTCACGAGAGTATCCATGAAGTCCATAGACAAACTCTCTCTCGATCCAGCAGGAATAGGCAAAGGCTTGATAAGCCCAAGGGGTGCTTGAGTCCTAGGTTTGTCTCTTTGGCAGACCTGGCAAGTCTCAATGTACTTCTTAGCACCCTCTAGCATCGGAGGCCAACAAAAATGCTGTAGTAAGTTAGCTGACGTCTTTTTGTGTCTGAAATGACATGTCACATCATGACTTTCACCTAAAAATAAAGTACGCAAAAACTCGATACTCCGGACACACAACCTTTTACTCCTGGCCATCTCAAGGGAGAGTAGCCCGTCGACCAGCACAAACTCGTTTGACGTAGCCTTATCTTGTACTCCGAGTCTGCTAATGATCTCAGACATAAATCTATCCCCCTTGCAGGCATCCACTAATTGTGGAGTCACATCATCAGTTAATTAGCCCCCCTAAATAGTCTGCCCTCCGCGAAAGTGTGTTAGCAACCTTGTTAAACTCGCCCTTGACATGCTGAAGGTGGAAGTCATATATGTCAATGACTTGAACCCATCTCTTCAGTGTGTCAGAGAGAGTGGGCTGCATCTTCATCCATTGGAGAGCCTCGGGGTCAGATCTCACTTCAAACAAGCAGCTATGGAGATAGTGCTTCTAATGGGTCAAAGTTTTGGAGGCATACAGTTCCCTTTTGTAAGTGGACTTACTTTTTGGATGACATCTTCTTGCTCATGTACTCAACAGGCCTCAACTTTTCCCCTTCCTGCTGCTCAAGAACTGCCCGTACATTGTACTGGCTAGCGTCCATTGTCACAACAAATGGTTTGTCAGGATCCAGGATTTTTAGTACTTCGTGATGAGTTAAAGTGTAAGCATGCTCACAGTCAGCTGTCCATTCCCATGAGGTGTCAAGACATGTTAGATCGATCAACGGGCTTGCAATGGATACGGCTTAGTGTGTTTCCCTACGGTGCGCTGATTTTGTTTGTTCCTAAGAAAGGGGGGATGGTGAGGATGTGCATTCATTATAGAGGCCTCAATGCCGTCATTGTTAAGAACGTAGAGCCTTTGCCCTGCATCGACGACCTCTTGGACAGAGCACAAGGATGTAGATACTTCAGTGCGATAGATTGAAGTCAGAGTATCATCAGATACAGATTAGGTCAGAGGATCAACACAGAAGGTGCGGCCATGAAAACTGTCCAGGGAAATTTGATGACCCAAGTACAAGATTTTGGTGCAACCAAACTCACATTCCTCCAAATTGATATTGTACTTGTGGTTCCGGAAAAGGCCTAGCACGATGTTTAAGTGTTGTGTGTGCTCCTTCAGACTCCTATTGAAAATGAGTGTACCGTCGGAGGTACACGACGATGAACTTGTTTAATAGTCATGAAAGATCTGATTCTTGTGTGCTGGAAAGATAGCCCAAAGGGCATCACCACAAACTCGTACGTCCTTCAGGTGTCGCCGGAGCTCATCTAACTCCCGTGGAGACATCTTATAGATCCTAACCCTAGGCACTTTACTACCCAATATGATCTCTGTCGTGTGGACGACCTCCCTATCAATGACTCCTGAGGGCTCCTCCTGAGGGTCTGAATACTTGGTGACCACAACTTTCTCAATCTCAAGCGGGGTCATGATGGCCTGCCGCTAAGACTAGATACATACCCTCCTCGCATTCTGTTTGTAATAGTTGTAGAATGCATGAGTGCACAAAGTTCCACAACCAGCCATAAGAGTCTGCCAACTCCTTAGATCTATACTTTCTAAGGATTGTCCTCCCGTCAAGCAATTCGTATTCATTGTTTTCCTGTCCCAGTCAAACTAGGGCCTAGCAACCTCGAGGTAGCACATTCCTAGTTCCATATCGAAGCGAAGCTCATCATTTACCAAAAATGAAACATTATGTTTCATTTGCCCTCCCCCATAGGAGAAGGTACATACTACATCCTTGACGTAGTCCTTTACCACGATCCGCTGCTTGTTAGAAAAGGTAGATAGTACAGCTCTACTTAGCTGCTGCACCTAGTCCCCTAAGCACAGTTTGTCCACACAAAAGTGCCTGATGTAGTTCCGAGTAGAGCCAATGTCTGCTAGTGCCCCTGCTTTATGACCACCTAAAATGGCTTCTACCACAATCAACTCTCCTAGAGGACCTTCTACCATCGTCACCCAGGAAGCTAGAAAGTTCCTTTGAGACCATTCCCTCTTAGTTCCTCTAAGGACTCGGACACATTTTGTGAACAAAGCATCACATGTTACGGATGAGTCTGCGGGGTGACAGTAGTGTCGGCGGCCTGAGCCATCCTATGCTAAGAGGTCGAGGGATCACCTACGTGCTTCTACTTGCTGGACATGTTTCCCTGAGCCGCATGTGGCTTCTGTGCAATTTGCGACTGCACTTTTGAAAGACCTTGTTAGGGCACCTCGACCAAATGTGACCATACTGGTACACTTCATACATGCACCCCTACAGAATTTGTCCCTGCACACGTCTTCCTCTAGGCCATCTCAGACCAACGTGAGACCTTAGTGTCACTTCCTTGACCCTTCGACTGCCCTCCCTTTGAAGGACCAGCCCCCTTAGCCTTTGTTACAGCCATAAACCTCTCCCTCTTAGGCATCATGGTGGGTACCAGACTTTGTACTTCCTCCCAGGTCTGAAGGGTCATCTACCTCTGATTCCCATCTGCGTCTGCACAGAAAAGGTGCCTCCTTACTTTCTCCAGTCCTGGGGCAACTTCTTCTGCCTTGTAACAGCCCCTTGACTAGCAGTACTTAGCTTAGCCTTTAAGTCCAGTGCTAACTTGCTAAGACTCGTGATGTCATTGTTTTTGGAAGTGGCCTCGTTGACCAGCAGCCCTTTGATGAACTCTGGCAGACATCTCAGGCATTTGGTCAAGAACATCCCCTGCTCATACACACTACGTGAACAGCAGCGACCCACCTTCCTCTGCTCCGCACCACGCAACTTTACTCTATCATGAACCAATCGACAAAACGAGAAATGAATTGACATGAAGCACAAAGAATAGACGCAAAATATTGGAAGGAAAAAAAGCAAAAAATGACCACACCTACAGCCAATTCATATCCCAAAAATCCTAGCGTCACGGTCATTGTTGCCATATCAGAGAAGACGGCCATAGCCATGAAGAACAGCGTAACAAAAGCCCGGCGTCGTCGCCTTCCTTCTTTCCTTGCAGAGGAACAGGCCAACACACTCCAACGTCCTCGTGACAACAACTTGGCACTGTTCCCCCATTAGATTGTCAATAGAGAGCTTACCACAAGTGAAAGCTCATGGACTCAACCGCTCGAGTAGGCTCCACCTCCATCCACGGGAAACCACCGCTTCCCCGTGTAGGGCAGTCAGAAAAGAGAACCAGCCAATGAAGACAAGCGGGCCACACCTCAACTCGCCATCACTTGTTAAGTTAAACCGCGGCACGATAATCATTGCTGAGCCTGTCAACAAGCCTCACGGAAGGTTCAGACAAAGTAATACTTCAACCGGGGCGGGAAAGCCAACCAATAGCAGCAAACAACAGTAGACCACGGCAGGACTATGAGAATCGACTCACTCCATCAGAGCCGCATCGCACTCACGCCATCACCACGGGGTCATCATCACACATCATCTACGTGCAGCGGGATGCAGTGTTCCCGATATCCCAGCCAACAGTTGTGTTGTATTGGAGCAGCGCCCCTGGTAGCACCGCGTTCTCCATTCTATGATCATATTCAACCTACCCGTGATAGAACAAAATTCGTCAGACCAGCTTCTGAACCCAAGTCTGAAAACAAGAAAGCATGACACAAGCAAAACTGTTCATTGGAAGTATCTGAATTCGGTTGTGCTTTTCTTCTTCTTTTTTCCGGACCATTTCTCGACTTATACGCGTCATCCTTGCACAGGGACCATGCTAATCTTCTCTGTATCGCTCCCATTTTAATGGCCATTCCACTACCGACCATTTTACATGTATCTTAACCATAACCATACTCTGGACCAGATACATACGGACTGATTCAACATTTTGAATGTATCGGGATCACTACCAGTTGCAGATACATCTAGAATGTTGTGTAGTGGAGCCAGGCCCTATGGATGCTGGACCCCATTGCCAGCAATGAAACAAGGGTGAGAAATTAGATTTTGGTTTTTGGACATATGCCCACGGTTCGAAGATAGGAGTACAATGGTGTCAATCATTTCAGTTCTATACATGTGGCCATAGCTCAATGATAGAAGTACTATTGTGACCGTATGTATCTTCACAAGTTCACACTAATTTAGTAATTTTCTATTATCGCACACGATTGGGTTATCGAGTTAGTTTCCGAACTCAATGCATACTACGCTTTCTTTCCATTCTTGGACCAATTTCAATTTATGTGCGTCATCCTTGCAGAGGGGCGATGCTAATCTTCTCCATATCATTTCAATTTTAAAGAATACCCCGAAGGACTTATAGTACATACTACAATGGCTGCTTTTTTTTTCTTTTTTTTTTTAAACCATTGCCCGAGGCTACTGCTGAGGGTGATAGAAGCATCCCCCATAGTATCCCATGGCTGTTGGCTCCAATCTATTGGTCGGCAGCATCACCTGCGGGAAAACGGGTCCAGCGTCCCACATATGAGAACAACACAGCTCTGCTGAATAACCCGGATCCAGATGTACCCAGCAGCATTGATTGCCAGGGAATTGACTGACTGGGCCCTAGCCTCTTCATCCCTCGCCCAAGCTGCCAGATAGTATTGTACTTGCCCTGGCCACATACTTGCCCATTGACTGCCTTCTGTTATTTTGCGGGCCCTCTTCCTGAAACTCGCTGAGGCCCTCCATTAGATATTACGATCTCATTGATATTGGAATAATAGGCCACAAGTAGACCTCATTTGGTGCACTGGGTTCCCCTGCATGGGACGCTGGGCCCGTTTTCCAGCATGTGTAGCTCCCCACCAATAGATGGAGCCTTCGAAAGGGACCCACTTAAAGGGGATGGACTTACCACCCCATTACACCACCACTCCCAGAGTGAAGTTCGTGAGGGAGGGGGGGGGTGGAGAAAATCCTCTGCAAGGAAACTGCAATGGAGAAACTCAATTTGCGAGCTCAATGAACTCTCGTGATAAGCATGTGTATGCCATCCACACAATTAGTATAAATGGCGAAGCAATGATTGCACCAGTGCAAACATTGGCAACAAAAGTCTCTTGATGATGAAAATCCCTCTTCTCTTTTGTCTCTTGTTATCTTTTGTCCGATTGCCGGGGATAAGCAACCAGACTGTTGCCCCCACAATAGAAGGGGCCTATGCTTTAACAAAAAAAATTAAAAACGAGAGAGAGCCCTCTTCCCACCTCCCAATAATCAATACAAGAATAATAGACTTACCACTTTGGGCATTTACCTTGTTGTTCCTGGCCACAGTTCCGGTGTTTTTTTAACCGAAATCTCATGTCCCACTGGTGGGAACCTGGTAAGCCCTGACGATTTCGGTCCAAAAAACACTGGAATTGTGACCAGGAACGTCAAAGCTCAATGCCCAGAGGAGTGTCGATGGTTTCACTACCAGCCTATGTGATAATCAACTGTGTCTACTAGTCTAGTCTATACACTATGCGAATACACATGCCCGCAAAGTACAATGCTGCTCCGACTGATGCCTGAACCAAGAATGTGCTTGAGCTCCTCAGGAGTGTCAGCTCTCACTGGTTTCACTGCCAGCCTACGTGATAATCAACTGTATCTACTTCTCACTATGCTAATACATATGCCACAAAGTACAATCCTGCTCCCGCTGATGCCTGAACCAAGAATGTACGACGATTGAGCTTTCTGGGCGACCATCAGGTACGTTCCTCACCAACCCCCTTCTCCCAATGGTCATGCCCTTCTTCTAGGACCTTCCCTCTTTGAACCACCAGTCTCTTTCTCTACAGCCCTCAGCACATCTAACGATGTGCATTGCCCCCTCTTCAAAAAGGTAAAGGGAAAAAAGGGACATTGGACAAGCGTAGCATGGAC